CTCATCTCTTGAGACAACTTGCAGGTAGTAAACCCAGAATATGTTAACTGAAAGCATTTCTAACTTCATCAGAGTTATAAAATGCACTTTTAAATTTACTATGCTCAAAATGAGTCTCAATGATTCATATGCCTGCAACAATTATTGCAGGTTTAAAGAAATTAGATTTACACATTTCATCTTCCTCCTCCCCATCCCATCCAAAAAAAGACATTCCCTTAGAAACATTTGCATGTGAGGTTAGCAACCTATCAACTGTAATGGCATGCCAGGGAAGGGGACCAGATGTAAAAAGACATGTTGGGCTCCTGTTGGCATCCCAGGCCACAAGGGCCTGCCCTGCCCAACCAGGGTCTTTGTTATTTAGCTAAGAACAGCAGCAACAGGTAAGTTGCTGGCCCAGGGTCCAGGTGCACAGGGGAGTGAGGACAGCCATGATTGAAGGTAAAGAGTGCTATGTTGAAGACCAAGAGCAGTGATTGCATTCTAAATGAACACAGTGATGATGGAGACACAGGAAACCAAATAGAAAGTGCTGGAGAAGAGGACCACATGGGCATATTAGATGGGCCTCTGGGGTCATGTAGAAGGAAAAGAGAGTGTGATGGTTTAGATGTTTACCCACCCCTTTTGCTATTTTTCTCTCTTTTCTTTTTAATCTCTTAAGTATGTTTGGAGAAGCAAGATAAAGAGAGAAGGGAAGACAGAAAAGGCAGTGATAATGGGTCAAGGCAGTTGATTTAGGGAAAAAAATCATTTCACAAACTGCACTTATGTGGATAATTACATAAGAGGCTGTTAAAAATCTTTTACTTATGGACCAGATAATCCCGAATTTGGTAGCCACCAGTATTTGATTCGGTTACAATAAAGCAAGTAAAATTAAGGATTTGAAAAAGAATTCAATGTAAACAGTAGATGGCACTATTTCAGGATGAGGGGTTTCCTTGCTAATTTTTCCATATTCTCCAATTTAAAAGAATGAAGGATGCATTAAATCCATTTCTTACCTGAAGGTTGTCTACCTGAACTTGTACAGCTTCTGAGGACCCAGTGAGCAGACGGAATCGGGACAGAGAATACCTGGCCTCCATCAGGTAGCTGTTTATCTCATCAGAGGCCACCTTGTGACTGCTCCATTGGTCAAGCACTGACTTCAGCAGTGCCTTCAACTGTCCCACCTTTTCAAAAACATGAATGTTTGTTATAATTACATAAGTTTAAAATAAGGGAATACATTTTCAGATGGTAGAAAAACAATCACCTGTAAAACTTCATCAGGATGTCAGGTATTATCACAAAGTAAAATTAAAATACTCAAAAGATGTGAAAGAAGACGTGCGCCAGTGCCTCACACCTGTCATCCCAGCTACTCAGGAGGCAGAGATCAGGAGGATCACAGTTCAAAGGCAGCCCGGGCAAATAGTTCATGAGACCCTATCTCAAAAACACCCATCACAAAAAAGGAATGGCTTAAGGTGAAGGCCCTGAGTTCAAACCCCACTACTGCAAAAGACAAACAAACAAAAAAAGATTTGAAAGATAAAGTGTAGCAACTTTGAAATTTCTGCCTTTCAAATTTTTGAACACTGACTAAACCAGAAATGATAAAAGATGACTGATAAGCATACATACATATACATATACATATATATGTAAATATATATTTAAGTGAGAGGAAGTCAATATATTGAATGAAACAACTGAAGAAGTATAATCAATGAACTTTTAAATGTCTTAACATAACAACCTCAAGAGGTAGGTATAATTCTTACTCCCATCTTACTATGAGGAAATTGAGGCACTAAGAGATAATGAAAATTACCTAAGTCAGACTGCTAGAATGTGTAAGATCTAAGTTGGAAACCAAGTAGTCTGGATCAGGAAATGAAATATATCCATATCTATAGCTCACACATGTGTGCATACACACATATATTCAAGATGATTATTTTAAGACAAAACATTCAAGAGCATTCTTTCTTTATATTTATCTGTATCAGAAATAATCAAAATAATTGCTCTATATCACTTAAGAAGTACCTACTTAGGATTTCTGTGTCACACTCCTAAATGTAATCTTTTGAATTTGGAGTGAGTATGGCCATGATTAAGAAAAGAGGTCATATAAATTCATTTCATCTACATTCTCAGATTTTCTTCTTAGTGTAAAGGAAAAATGTCGAAGCCAAATGTGATGCTCTCTGACAGGACAAAGGACAAAGAAGGTGCTGTGTCAGATGTGAGGCAGGGCCCACAGGTGCAGACAGGTGTGGGGCCAGTCCTAGAGAAGTCATGAAATAGTCATGATGATCAGAAAAGGAGGTCAGTGGGAATTGTTAAATACCCTATTTCTTCTTTGTATTACTTTTGCTTCTCATGAGGCCATATTTCTATGAAAGAACTATGACTTTATATCTACATGGTAAATTGTTTCCAAACCTTTATGGTGATTTATAAAAACACATAAAATAAGGTAAGATTTAAAGTCAGTTTAAAGATGAAGTCAGGCCTGGAGGAGAGAGCATGGACAGTAGGAGTGGTTTGCGGGTGCCATTGGTCCACACCACTTCACCTCTTTGTGCCTCAGCTCCCAACTCTAAGGTGTGGATGATAGCGACTTGGGCAGGTACTTGCTGAGAATCAGAGTGATTTTGTACTGCGAGGAGTAGTGTTTGTTGCTGTGTATATTCTTCTTGTCAGAGGAGTCAACCCTTTATTCCTCACCTTTATCAACACAAGGGAATGACGTGGTGTGTTAGAAGGAAGGAGGGAGAGTAGTGGCGGACCAGTGTGGCAGAAGCAAAAGGACCCACAGGATAGTAGAGGAGATGAGGTCAGACAGAGAGTTGGGAGGCTGGATCATCACAGGCTTTGGTCTCATTCTGAACAAGACCAGAAGTTATTGGGAGAGTTCAGTAGAGGAATGTTATGATCTTATCTGCATTTCAATGGCCCCTCTGGGGATGTAGACTGTCTAGAACATCATTGAAATGTTCAACACATAAGATGATAGTAACTTAGACATGGGTTCCAGCTGCAGAGGTGGGATGGGGGCTGGATGCTGGTCTGTTCTGAGAGCATAGCTGTCAAGACTTTCAACCATCAGAAGTCCATGAGGGAACGGCAGGAGTGAAGAGTCACACCAAGGTTTCCTGCCTAAGCAATTGGCAGGGTAAAGTTGTCATTACTGAGGTGACAGAAAGAGTAGATTTGTCAGGGGATATTCAGGATTAGAATGGCCACAGAAATTTAAGATGTTTATTGGTCATACTTGGACCAACTGGTCTACCAGTTGGGTTTTTCTGTCTCTATCTAGAGCTTGAGAGAAAAATCATGGCTGAGGACAGACATCTGGAGAATTATCTGTACCAAGATGGTATCTGTAGCTATGGGAATAGATGAAATTATTAAAAGAGTAATAATTATAATACTGTTTATTGTAGGAAACATCAGAAGCTAAGACTTTTTTAAAAAATGAAGTTAATGAAAAGGCTTTAATAATACAAAGAGATATTATAGAGATTTGACAGATGTTTACTCCGTTACTTTAAGAAAACTGAAACCCAGAGTTTTGACAAGGGTTGGCAAGTAGTCTGGGTCCCCAGGGCAGCATTACCATGTGGTCCAAATTTGCCCAGGCTTGGCTGAGCTCCTGCAGCGTGCCCATGACAATGGCAGAGACTTCTTCTTTCTTGTTCTGAATCAAAGCAAGTCCATTCTGCTCAATTTTCTCCACTTCTTTTTCTTTTGCTTTAATCAAATCTTCCAGGTCCTGAAAGATTTTAAAAAATAGTCATTTTAAATTGGTCTATTATGGAACTATAGGGGGCACTGAAATTGAACCATGACAGTTTCATGTACTAAAAACCTGCCACTAATCCAAAAAGATTATCATTCTCAAAAGAGGGTCTCCACAGCAATACTTCTTCCTACACTTAAGTGTAAAAAACAGTCTTTTTTATCCATGGGAAATTAGAATAACATAAAAAATATAAAATCTGATTATCTACTGGATAAAGAAATCCCATCATGGGATTTTTTTCTCAAAAAGTTGCAAGCAAAGAAATACATGTCAGAAATGGTAATATGATTTATATTTTAAATTCATATATGTTGGTGTTCAAAATGCTACATGGTCTAGCCAATGTGACAGAATTATAACTGAGACTCAGACACATTTCTGCTGCTCTTAAGTCATGTTACTGGAGATAAATCAGAAATGTCCAGTGGGTCTCAGTTTGCTCAGTTGTATAATCAGAAGATTGGGGAAGAATTTCTTTCTCTGTAAAATGCTCTTATTCTTGGGATACAGGAAGGTTACAGGCTTTTTTTCATAACTCAAATCCTCATTTTCTTTGGAATGTGCACTTATAACTGTCAGAATAAAATGCTCAAGAAAGAAAAATCAAATGAGAAAAGGGTCTGGAGCGCGTCTTTAACCACGCATTGTAATCCTGACTTACGGTGTAACGCCACTGTAAAGTCTGCAGTTCAGTGAAGCAGGCTGAGACTGCTGTCCACGTGGTACAGATAACCAAGTGGAAAGCCCAGTCAAGCAACCTGTCTGGAATCTGGAGCTGGTGATGGCTGGCGGGCATGGAAGCCAAGGCTTTCAGCCTCCTGACCCCAGCCCAATGCTGGAGGAAAGTTGGCTGAACCTGAAACTGTGCAGAGGTGTAAATCCCAGGTCAGGGTAATACACCAATCCAGGTGTGTGTTGAGACAAGGTTACACTCTCTTATTCACAAGTACACCTCCAGAAGTGAAAAAAGATTGAACCGCCTTTGGCGTTAGAAGGAAGAAAATTTGAAATTAAGTTTGGATAATATCTTGATTATGAAAAAGAGATTTTTACCCCTTCTCAAGGCCCATGTGTGGGTACTAATACTGGGACTCGGAAGCTGTTGATAAGGTGTTTATGAGGAGTCTAGTCTTCACCAAATTAAACAAATTTTGTGTCTCATTGTTTATGACTAGTTTTGTCTCTGATTTTTTTTTCTGCTGTGGTTCAACTTTTTCATCTTTCTCTACTTCATTCATCAAATGGGCGTAATAATATATCTTCTGTTTACTTCAAAGAGATAAAATTAGACAAATATATATCTTTTAAATAAATATCTTTTTGTTGTTGTTGGTACTGGGGTTTGAACCAGGGCTTCACATTTGCTAGGCAGGTGCTCTACCACTTGAGCCACTCTGCCAGCTCAATAAATATCTTTTAAGCTGTCAAAAACTACTCAAATGTAAGACATTATTATAATCTGCTATGCTTTTGGGCAAATTTATTTATTTTTCTCTGCTGAATTATCATGATGCCATTTTTGTCTTGGTGCATTAATTAGAAATTCATGCATTTGATAGCTTAAAGAGATGATTTTTATTTTATATTGTTTATAACTGTTTGTTTATATTGTTTCCTGCCTACTTTATAATTTTGCCAATATTATGATAGTTTTGATAATTACCAGAGAGTGAATCTCATAATTACTGGGTTACAAGTCCTTTATTCAGTTTGCAAAACTTTAATTCTCTAAGAAATACACATATGTCATAACCTTAATTTATATTTAATACCAATTAATATACATAATATATAATTACACAATGCAATACATATTATATATTATGTAATATATGATAATACATAATATATAATTATGTATTTATTTATATTTTAATATATATTAGCCATCAATAATCCTTCCCATGTTTTTAATATAATTCTAAAATTCAACTATTAGAAATTAAGCTTATCCTCATTTATTCATAGGTGCTAATTTTTTCAGTGAAGAATATTAAGTGGATGATCCATTGACTGGAAATATAGCTCAAAAATGCCCTGCACACGGATGTTGGCATAAGAGCAAAACTCAGGAGGAAAGAAAATTAAAAGGTATTTTTTGTGCAAAATAAAGGTATGTTTTCCTTTCCATTAATAATAATTAAAAGATGATTCTGTTTCCGATCAATAAAGAGAAAGGCCAAACTTAACATTTTTGTAATAATAAATCATTCTCCATTTGGATTAACTCATAAATACCAGTTTTTATGTTTCTTTAAATGAATAAATCACCTCCAAAAGACTGGAAAATTATTCCAGATTTTTAAAACAAAATAAAGATTGAGTCCAGTCACTGATTTAAGTACACTGGCTTGAATTTCACACTTTGGTCCAAAGGAACAATTTCTCAAATATGACAATAAATTTTATCAAAGTTTTGTAGCATCGCCAAATGGAATCTGGCAGCTAGGCAATTGTGATTTGTATGTTATGTCCCAAAATAACTGTGCGGCCTACTTTCATTGTGTTTTTTGTTTCAAATAAATAACTTTTCATTTGAAATCACAAATTGGCACCGGTATAGAGTTATTTAAACCACACTGTAATAAGCTTTCTCTCTTGACACAGCCTGAACTGACCCTCTGGGAGTCTCAAATTTAGATCCTATAAGAAGTAAAACTTGGCCAAACTTCTGCAGTATTTTCCAGATAGAATGTGTTTCTCTTAAGTAGAAGTCATGCATGAGAAAAGAAACAAAATGGAAAATGGCAGGGAAAAGTCCATTAAGAAAAAGTATGTGAGAAAAAGAGGAAAGTTATCTTCATGCAGTATTTCAGTCTTTGATAGTAAGGTTATCCCAACAAGGGAGCACTAAATTTACTGATGCTAATGCTTACAAGTGACTTTTAAAACTGATGGAAATATTTTGACTTAGGAACTCAACCAAAGGTATGACTTTTCACCCTTACAAGTAAGGAAATTCTGGCTTATTTGTAGATTTCTAATTTATGGCCTAAATTAGAAATACTATTGGCCCCTAGAAAACTGGAACTGTAGTGAGACGAGTTAGTACACACCATTTTTCATATGGTGTGTACTATCTTCTGATGTGAGGCATTTTAAAAAAATGATAATTTAAAATACTTCTCTATTTGAGGTTTTTCACTGTCATTTTTATGTATTTTCAAAATTGTTACCCTTCACGTAAGGAGCCCAGAACTTAGAGCATGCAGTCTTCCTTTTCTGGAGCTTAAGACTTTGAACGTGAGGTACATAGTGAGACCTGGTCTCAAAAACCAAACCAAAACAAAAACTTAAAGGATAAGAATTTAAGAGACTTAAGAGTACTAACAAGCAAATGTAGCAGGCACACACTGTTTGTGTTCTTTTTTGAATAACAAAAGTCATTGTAAAGACAATTGAGGAGCTTTGATTATGGCTTCTTGGGGAAATAATATTAAGGAATTATTACTAAATTTTTTGTGGTAACATGGTTGCATAAAAAATATCCATTTTTCAGAGATGTGTGTTACAGTATGTAGGAATAAACTGACATGTTATTGGGATGTACAGTGACATCTTTAAGAAAAAAAGGAAGCAGGAGCCAGTGGCTCATGTCTGTAATCCTAGCTACTCAGAAGGCAGAGATCAGGAGGATTGAGGTTTGAAGCCAGCCCAGAAAAATCGTTCAAGAGACCCTACCTTGAAAGCCCATCACAAAAAAGGGCTGGTGGAGTGGCTCAAAGCCCTGAGTTTAATCCCAGTACCACAACAACAACAAAAAAAAAAAAAAAGAAAAAAACAAAACAAAACAAAAAAGAAAGCATTCATACCTGTAATCCCAGCAATCAGAGGCTGAGGCAGGAAGATTGCAAATCTGAGGCCAGCCTGGGCTGAATGGTGAGACCTGGTCTCAAAAACAAGCAAACAAACAAACAACAGGGAAATTTAACACTTTAACAGCTCTCAGGCATGTGCCCACACTCAGCATATGGCAGAAAGCTGTGACAGATGCAGGAGAGCCCTCTGCACAGGTTACCTGGCAGTCTTTCAGCATGTTCTGAACGGAGGCCTGGTCTCCGATGCGATGCTGCTGTTTCAATCGCCTTTCCTGAGTTTCAAACCAGGTTTTCAGACACTGCACATTATTTTCATATTCTGACCAAGACTCCAGTAAGCCTTCCAACAGCTGGATCTAAACAAATGTAAGGACATGAATATACAATCTTGGTTTAAAATCAAGTCATTGGTGGACTATTTACTTCAGACACTATATCCTCCAAATTAAGAATTCGTAAGATATAGCTCATTGTATATATAATTAAAAAAAGAGTTTTATCAAGTGTGAATTGATTATGGCTGTCATGGGGAACCCAGAAAGGACTAAAGCCAATGTGAAACAAAGGCAAGAGAAATTCTGTAAAAAGACAGAGGCAACATGAAATGTTCAGAAGAGGGGTACAGAGAGAATAATGGTCCTGGACCCTTCAGTGACATCACCAGAAGCCTTCTTGAGCCCAGAGAGCCACACTCCACAGGAAGCGGGTTTCTCCCATGTGCCTGTGCTCAGGATCTCAGGTGACTGGGGCAGCGGCAGGTCACCTGCTTACCTTCTCAGCCACCACACCTTGCAAGAGTTGCCAACTCTTATTCATCGTCCCCAGTCGCTCAGCAAAATCAGTCTTGTCACTTCGCTTGCTTTCCACGTCCTGACTGCTGATCTGCAGCACGGACTGGTTCACAAAGTCCACGGTCAACTGCTTGCAGCTGATGTCTATCTTAAAGCCCTGCATAAAAAGAGGCATGTAGAAATGTCTTATTATTTTACCAGGAGCTGGAAAGTCTTGGAAAACCTTAATAGGAATAGCGTCACCTCCAAGACTTCATCCAAATGGCACACCTTGTCTATTCACATGCCCCATTATTTTTGAAATTGAGCTTATATATTTACGTTATACAAACATAGACATGGGTATGTATACACATCCATAAAATGTGGACAATGCAGAATACGGTAAATCATATAACTTTACTACAAAATATTTATCAATTATAATGTGCATTTTTATGATTGTCATGTCTTCAAATAACAAAATTATTTGAAATTATTCCTAATACCAGACAACTGTTCTATGCCTACAACCAGTGATGCAGTGTTTTTGCTTCTGAATGCTGTCTGGTCACCATGTATAGAATATATACATTCCAAGACCTGATTTTTGAGTTTTGTCTTTTGTTTTCTTTTTCTTCTTCTTCTTTTTTTTTTTGGTGGCACTGGGTTATTTTGAACTCAGGGTCGTGTGCTTTCTAGGTAGGAACTCTACCATTTCAGCCACACCCCCACCCTCATCTCTGATTTCAAGTATTTTCAAATAAAACTGCCTAAATATGTGAAAATTTAAAAGCAAAAATGTTATTTACCTTATATTTCTGAAGGTATTCATGAATTGCCTTGTAACCTATGGCATTTTTTATCTCCTCTTCATCCTTTTGGATAACACTTTCCATCAGAGCAATCCAACTCATGACCTCAGAAATAGCATGGCGGGAAGGCAGCTTGTCCATTTGGAGCTGTCCATGACAGAGACAGAATAAGTCCCAAGTATTAAAGTTCAAGCCCAGTTTCTGCTAATGTAAGAGACCTACACTAGTTCTTATTAAGATACCGAGCAACATATCACTAAGGCAGTTTTTAGCTCTTACAAGCTTGAAACATCAAACATTGAATAATACTGGTCATTTTATGTTCAGTTGACATCTCATACCATAAACACTGCATAAATATTAACTCATTAATCAAAAAACTAGCAAGAAGACAATATTATTTTATAGTTTTATGAGTTAAAAATTTTAACTACAAAACATTCAACAGATGTATTTTATTAATTATCTTGTAAAAATCTCAGTGTCTTATGACTCAAGAATGTTAGAAGAATGAAGAAAAACACCAAACTACAGCCCTCATTTTCTAAATTTTTTTTGGCACTCTAATATTTATTTCAAAGAGCACAGCCAATTTCCTGAATCTTTAGCTAGGATGAGAATTCTGAATTTTAGTTCATATGTCACACATTTTATGCATTTACTTACTACAGTGATTTGGAGGAACAAAGATAATCATTTAAAATATTTGTAAATCAACTTCTGAGTGGTGCTGAAAGGTGGGACGAGCATGGGATTGTTCATGCCTTCTAGGAACACACAGCCACTAGTTGGGGGAGATAGGTATGTCTTTAAGCACAGTCACCATACCTGACACACAGTGCCGGATGTGAAAGGGAGAAAAAAAATCAAATGTTCTAAGACTTTAGGAGAATTGGGCACTATTTCTAAAACAGAGAAACACAGTCGTGTGCTGGAAACAACAGTTCAATGATGGATCCCATATACAAGGGTGGTTCCCTAAGATTACATCCCTTAGTGTCGTTACAGCCATCTCAGTGTGTGTTACTATAATCTATGATGTTTGTACAATGACAAAAATGGACCAATAACACATTTTGCAAATTTTATCCTCATCATTAACTGGTGCATGATGGAACTTGCACTTCTGAATGCCTGTGGCTCTCCTGAACTTAAGAAGGAAGATCTTTTACATGTTATGAGTCATTATAACATTACATGCTATGTAACCATATGTAAAATGGAGTCTAAAGAAGACCAGACAGAGATTCTAAAACACACACACATACACACTATGCTTTTGGAAGAAATGCTCTCTACATGACTGGTTTTTCATACGTAATACAATGGGAGAGAGAATAGGCCAGTTTCTGGGCTAAAGCTGATTTAAGTGTGTGAGCAAAGTAGTCTGGCATTTATTATGCTTCAATCAATTAGTACCAAATGAGCTAATCACTCTCTCTGCACCTGGTGGAGCTTCTCCTGTACAGCTGGGATGCTGGTCAGAAGGTCAGTCCACTGGCTGTCAAAGTGGGACAGCTCGGAACGCAGGGCAGCCGTGTCCACTTTCTTTAATCGGAGAAGCTGATTTCCAGTGCTCAGAACAGATGATTTCAAGGAAGATTTCGCATCCACTTCTTTAGAAAACCCCTAAAAGAGTGGCAATATCCAAATTAGGATTAAATAGCTAAACTTTTCATTTTAGAATAGAGACCAATTTAGCACATGAAACAATTTCCTCCACATCTTTGGGGCAGGCTACAGGAGTTCTTTAGAGAAGGCAAAAGAACACCTTTGCCCCCAAATGAAAGCCAACTGTGACTTGAAAACTATCTGAAAGAGGCAGTGTTGAGTAGACACACAGTTGAACCCCGTTAGCTGGATTAAGTACAGAGCACACACAGTTAACACAGATGGACTCTCTATAGCTGAGCCTGTTCAGTATATCCACAGACAGTTGACTCCCTTTTTATTGTTGTATGGGTCAGGCCTTACCTATAGGATGAAAAAACAAAAGTGAGAAAAATGCCTTTGGTTCTCAGACTTACCAGGAATGCATTGAGATGATCACGGACCATTTCTAGTTCTTGTGGGACTGTCACGGATTGCTGAGTCCAAAATGCCAGCCTGTCTTTTGCAGATTGTAACCAGTGAATTAGATCTGCAGATTCACTTTGATACCTGTAAGTATATTAATGAGTCTGTTATGTAAACATCCAAGCACTTCCTTCTGCATACTCAAGATACTCACCAATGCTGACAGTTAAAACAAGATCTAATAGATTTAGAAGTATACAAGGTTGATACTCTGAAATTCTTTTCTCTTACTATTTTATTCCCATCAAGTTTGACTATCTGGGTTTCAGTCTTCCCATTCTAAGTTGTAAGGAATATCTTTCTCTTTCTTCACATTGATACTACTGAGAAATATTTTAGAGGATGGGTATACAAGCTCTTTGAAACAAAGGTGGCATAGAAACAGTGTTTCATTACATAAAAATCAAACACCCACCTCCCTTGATTTCCTGTTATGGTTTGAATATGAAACGCTTCCCATAGGTTCATGTCTTAAAAGCTTGGACCCCAGCTGATGATACTATTTTGGGAAGCTGGTGGAACTGTAGGAAGTGGCAGTTAAGTGAAGGAAGTAGGTCATTGGGGGCTGCTGAGGAGGAGTATCTTGTTCCCATCTCTTTTCTGTCTCTCTGCTTCTGGGCCACTATAAGGCAAATAGCCTCTTCTGTCACCTGCTCCTGCCACCATGATATTTTGCCTTCCTTCAGGCTCCAAACAAACAAAGGATCCAGTCAACCTTGGATTGAAACCAAGCTAAAATAGATCTTTCCTTCTTTTAAATTGTTTCTCTCAGCTCCCTAATCACAGGGACAAAAATCTACATAGCACACTTCCCATTGCCCTTGAGAAGATCCCCTTGGTCAGTATTTTCCCTTCTTTTTCTCCAAGGCCTTACTGTGACCATCCAGGATCAGTTGTTAGGCAGCTCGAGGAAGTTCAGCCTGAAGGTAAGCTGCATTGTGCACTTGCCTCCCTGCCAGCATTTAATTATATGATTACATGATTTATAAGGAATCTGATTGGGGCTTTCTGTTTGTCTTTATTTTACAAATTATGCAATTTTCCACACTTGTATATCTTTCCTAAGTCCACTCACTAAAGTACTTGTCAATACACCAGGGTACTTATCTCAAAATAAGCAAAAGAGTCATCTTATTACCTGGTCCAGTGTTTCAATATTGTTTCCAATCTGTGAAGTTCCTTAGACACTTTGTTGGTATTGTTCAGCCAGCCCTCTCCAAGTTGATTTAGCTGGCTTTCTAGATCTGAGCAGCTGACAGTCATTAGGAGTCGTTTTCCATCATCTAATACTTGATATAATTTGGGCTGATATTCATTAAGGTTGGATTTTAAATGCTGAAATTATTAACAATATTGGGTTATAAATTTGGATACTGCATTCTTATCTTTGAGAATTATAATTTCTTGGGAGCTTACAATGTTCCCATTACCAATTATCTAAATGTAAACTATTTGCACCCAAACAACACTGAAAACTTGAGCACGTTTCAGCTCTATCAAAGTATAGAGATTTTCCTTTTGGGAGTATTAACTTTAGGTATATTTAAAACTGCCCAACCTAATTTTTTCAAGAATAGCATGACACCAGCATATATACTACAGAGAAAGTTTGGTGAAAATGCTTTGAAAGTTTTCAAGAAGAGCTCTCTCACTTAGGAAGGAAGGAAGGCAGGGAGGGAGGGAGGGAGAGAGAAGAAAAGTTTTTGGTAGGGCTGGGAATTGAACTCAGGGCTTCGTGCATGTTAGACGAGTGCTCTAATACTAAGTTACAGACTCAGCCCAAGAAAGACTGTGTAAAAAATTCACTATGAATAACACAAATACAATTTATCTGCTTTCAACAATGTCAATAACTTGAAAGAAAAGTAAAATAATTGAAAGAAAAGTAAAATCAAATTTTATCACAAATTTGATTAGATTTTGTTAAAAATTACTGGTAAATTTCTAAAGGAAATAAGGCCACTTGCAACACTGTGACTCTTGGAGGACCCTGACCTGGTAGAGGCTTGTCCGTTCCATGAGCCTGTCCTCACTCTCCTCCACCAGGCCCACGCTTGGAATGCTGCTTTCCACCGCCTCTAGCTGTCTGCCAAGCTCCTGGAGATCCTCGTCCAGATGGGACCATGTCTAGAAACAAACATTAGTCAATGAGCTAAAAAGCCCTCCTTAGGAAACAACATCTTTGTGCACAAAATATGTGCTCTTTCAAGATATGGTGGTCATAAGGAGGGGACGGTTCTAAAACAAGCAATCAGATGTTGACCCTTAAGAACATCAGGAATGGAAACTGGTATCTGCAATGAATACGCATGGGTAAGTTACTAGACTTCTCTGAACTATTTTCCACATATTAAAATGATGACAATAATAACTATTTTCTCCACCATGATTATTAAATGGAGTAAGGTATGAATAGACCTAGTGTCTGGTAAGTAGAGTAAGGATGTAAATAAAAGAGATGGGTATGGCTGCCTTTTTCATTGCCTGTGAACGAAATATGTTGCATTTGCAAATAAAACTTAAAGTATAGTCATTTAAAAAAATATGAATATCTACTATGGATATTCTGTTAAAGAAAAATATCAAATAACTTATTCCTAAATTCAGAATTTTATTTAAAACTGCAAAAGACTGTTTCTTAATCAGGGTCTTTTCTAATAATTTATAGCAAGGGTGAACAGATTTCCAACTGTGTGTTCACTTTTATGGGCAGTTGGGATGGCATAAGGGCGCTATTGTAAGTGCTTGTGCTTTTTCCAATACTTACCCATTGCCAGGCACAATTTGGGGTTTAAAACAGGGAATAAAGCATACAGAAACTCTGTCTTCATGGAGTTCATACTCTAATCAGGGAAGATAGGCAATCCACAATAAATTAAAAAAGAGAAAACTAGGTATACACTTCATGGTATATAAAGAATTCTTGTGCTGTTGGCGTTAGAATGGAGCTGAGCAGGGGTAGAGGAGTGCTCAGATGTGTGCATGGTGGGGCTAGAATTTAGATGGCATGGTCAGGTAGAGCTCACTGAGAAATGCACGTTCCAGGCAATGAAGCCAGACAGACACGGCGTGATTGCTGCTAATCACACTCTGCTGGAGAAACTAAAGCAGATACCTTAAAAGCAACTGCAGCCAATAGGAGAAGGGGACCAGGAACTAAAGAAAAGGT